AAGAGCAAGAGAGTGAAAATGAACAGGAGAGAATAAAGAAAGAAAAAGGAAATGAAAGAGAACAAAAAGAAAAGAAAAAAACCTCAAATACCAAAATAACTACCAAATAAGGAAGAAAACAAGATGGCATCCAATCAGACAGGAGAGGGATAGCCAATTAGACAAACAAGGGAGAATGAAAGTAGTGAAATACCTTTGGTGTTTACAGTTCTGTGATGGTATCCATCTTTAATCCCAGAAATGTGTTGGGTATGGAGCTGAGCTTGGCCTCTGGATATGGGGCCTGGGACTGGACTTCTGCTGGTGGAGTCCTCTGGAGTCCAGTGGCTGGTTCCTTACTGCTGCTTCCGACACTTCCACACTGTTGGTCTTGCCAATTACTCTACCTTCCAAAGGTGTTTCTGCGCCTATGCATCTGGGACCCAGCTGTTGTCCTGGATCTCAGGTCTTGGGGTTTCTGTCAGTCTACTCCACAAAGGCATGTGTCCTTACACTCCTCTCAAAGACCCCGCCATCCCCAAGACAATGGAGAAGGCACAGAGCGCAGACTCACTCTCCTGTCGCAGGCCCCGCATCCTAGACAGAATGGAGCCTATTTAGTTAAATCTTAGGTGATCCTGCCAAGCACCTCTTTGATTTGTTTTTTAATCTCCTTTATTACATCCCTTAGAGCAATCTGTGTGCCTGGCATTTATACTATTCTTCCTCTTGATATCTTCTGGATTAGCTTTGGGGTAGTTTTGAGTTTGGGGAGGCATTTTTGTTTTCTTGTCTTCTCATGTTTCTGTTGTGTTTTGTTTGAGGTTTGTGGGTACTTACAGTGAAAAGACTTTGTGGTTAGTATGGTGATCTCTTCAGTTAGTCTGCTTTTCAGTGGTGCACTTTGGGGATGGCTAACTATAGTCCCTTGCCTCTGTCCCAAGATCTAAGCACTTCTGTTGATTTAGGAGGGGAGGTTGCTGGGCAATTGGCCCAACAACCAGTTCTCTGGGAATGGGCCCCAGTATTGTTAATGTCATAAAGGTAATCTGGGTGTTGGCATACAGAGACAGCCCACTAATAGCAACAGTTACATGACCCTGCCAGTATTGAACAAATCAGCTGCAGTAGTATTGTCCAAAGCAAATTGGGTGTACACATACCATAAGAACCGTTAATATATCACCATTAACCATAGAAGAGAAATCCACAATTATAGTATAAACACGAAGACAAGCCAGATGTCAACATACAGCTAATATGTACTAAATGCAACAGCTGTATCTCCACTAGTGGTAGAAAAGAACTCAATGGTATTTATATAGAATTAATTATTTGAAGATTAATAAAGCTTACTGACTGTTATGGTTTGTGTTTAGATGGTCTAGTTTGTGTCTAGATCCTCCCCCCAAGCCTCATTCAGTCATAGGTGGGGCTTTTTCGGAGGTGGCTGAATCTGTAGCGTGTATGATGCTGGTATTAAGTGTGTGATTACTAGTCTACTGATTGGTTTGGCACTGCCCTAATCCCAGTAGCTTAGATAGAGTATAAAAGGGAGAAAGAAGCTGCTAAGGTCTCCTGCTTGCTTTGCTGCCTTCTGTCTGCCATAAACTGTTTCTCCTCTGCAGTGTCTGTCTGCCATGCCACCCTGCCTTGGATCCCCCTGATTATGGACTGAAACCTTTGCAAACTATGAACTAAATAAACTTTCCCCCTTTGAGTGTCAGATATTTTGTCTTGGCAATGAGAGAAAAGTAACTAAGACACTGGCTATCTTATTAAAGATATAGGGGGTTGGAATTGGAAGAAAGCAAGACAGAAAATTTGAAAATTTAACCTATCCGAGATCAGAAGGAGAAGAGAGAAGTGAGATAAAGGATCCTATTAGGGAGTAGAAGGATATTTATAGAACTAGATAAAGGTTAACAGAAAAAAAAGAAATAAAAGATAAAAGAAAAAAGGCAAAAAGGAGAATTAAAATAAGAAAAATAATATGAAGAATAAAAATTTAAAAATTAAATGGGAAAAACTCAAAGGAAGAAGAGGGGAAAAGAAGAAAAGAAAAAAACTAAAACTTTAAAAACAAAAAAGAATAAGGGAAAATCCCCCACACCCTAGTAAACCAGTGAAGAAGAGGAAAGGGAAAAAAAGCACAGAACTTTTTCTTCTCTGTGTTTTTATTTTTTATTTTTTTTGGTTTTTCTCCGGTACCAGGAACCGAACTCACGACCTTGCGCTTGCCAGGCAGGCGCTTTTGCCGCTGAGCTAAATCCCCAGCCCCCTCTTCTCTGTGTTTTTAAACAAGTGTTTTCCTTCTAGGATCTGCAGTTTTGAAGTCTAGCAATTGTTCGTGTTCTCTGCCCAGCCTGAAGGCCTTTGGGTTTCTGAGGTGCCCCGTGCCCCTTTTCAGAGGTCCCTCTGTTTACCCAGGCTATGCCAGTGTCTAAGCTGAGACATGTGCCCGGTCATCCCAGTAGATAAGGAAAGCAGTCAGACCCTGAATCTGTCCTGGATGCAGGTAACAGGCCGAGGGCTTGAATACTCGATACCGGCCCTTTCAAACCCAGAGCAACTCAGGCCAAGCCTGGCCACTAGCCATAGGAGTGGGAGCTCAAATCCCTCAGGGGACTCTGTGGCCTGCTCCCTGTCTGTGGTTGCTGCCTGTGGCTGCCTCACCCAGTCACCGTGTGAGGGTAGCACTGGGAACCAAGAAGTGAAGCTGTCCTGCCGCTGTTCTGAGTCCCAGATTCAAACACTCAACCCTTTCCTGGAACAGCACCCAATCCCACTCTTGCTCCAAGTGTACGGTGGGCACTTGCATCTGCACGGGGATCCCTGTCCAGCTGTGGCTTGTGGAAGGACCTCCATTAGAGCAAAACCTTGTGCTGCCCCTGCAGATCACAGCATCCACTGGCCCAGTCCACTGCTGCTTCTTCCTGAGCGCTTCAGCGGATGCAGGCTGGGGAGCAAGTCCAGACTGTTTCATTCACATCTCCGCATTATGGCCAGTCTCTTCAACTTCGCTGTACAGTAGTTTTTAAATTGCCTGTCATTTTCTTCCTGATTCTGGGGATCCGCTTCTATTTGTCTCTTTCTTCTTTCCCAAGTTGTCATTTTCCAGTGTCTGAATTCCAAGTCTCAGAGAGGCTGAATTGTTTAACCTCCCTACTCTACCATTTTGAAAAGCCTGCTGAAAGTTTCACTCGAGTTTTAATAATAATAATAATAATAATAAAGCTCCAGGCATGCAGGCATGCATTGGAAGAACAGTACATGGTAATTTTGTATACAGTCTGTACGCCACGGCCTATGGCTTTATTCTGGGGCTTTTTTTTTTTTTAAGACTGTCTCGCTAAGTTGCTAAGTTACCCAGGCTGGAGTCAAACTTGTGATTCACCCAGAGTTCTAGGCTTGCGTTTTTCAGGAGTGCTCATCAGGTATTTTGTAGATGTACCTCAGTTGGGATTGTCTTATTCTTTTTCTCATGATTAGAATGAAGATATTATGAGCGTGTGGAGGAAGATCACAGTGGTAAAGTGCTCTTTCTGTTACATCTTATTAAGGGCACAGGAGTTGCTCAGACATAGATGTTTCCTGTCACCTGGTTCTAGTCATATTGGTCAATTTTCTCCACTGGAGAGTTCCTTCTTTCCACTTTGCATACTGTATTCCTTGGAAGGAAATCCTTTCTACACTCTGCGATTAAGGAATAGGGAATTGAGGATGAAGTAGCTCCATAAATTATTTTGTAAAACTCCTGCATAGATTTATGTTTACCTTTAAAGGAACTGAGAGTTTTGTGAAGTGATTGTGCCATTTTTTACTCACACTGGCAATGTCTGACAGTCTAAGTGCTCCTCATCCTTATCAACACTTGATATTTTCAACTTTTAAAGTTTAGCCATTCTAGTTGATGCGAAGGTGAAGTGATATTTCACAAGGGTTTTAATTTGCATTCATGATGATTAGTAATATTGAGCACATTATGTTATGCCTGTTGACCATTCCTGTATATTTTTTGGGGGGAGAGGTATGAAATGTCTGTCTAAGATTTTTGCCTATATTTTAAAATTGAGTTTTATTATTGAGGTGAAGTGTTACTTGTATATCTTGGATATAGGTTATTTGTTCAATATATGACTTAGAATAACCACAATAGCACAAGCTTTCTGCATTGGAGTTTGTATGTGAATCCATTTGCCTGTCAACATTGACATATTAGCTACTTGAAGTGATACTTAGTTTTAATGCTGAAAATTACCAGTTCTAATCTTTTGTACTTGTAAAGAAGCTTGACTTTCACAATCATAGTTTTCAAATTGAAAGACAAGTGCAGGCTTTAATTTACATCAAGTAAACATCAGTTTCTTGGTTGGCTTATGTCAGTTCTTAATTATTTGAAATAATATTATTAATACTACTTGTACCTTTGGGAAAAAGTACACAGAAGATTGTTATATGCTTATTTAGCACCTGAAGTGTTTTGAACTGAAAAAAAAAATCGGTCTGTGTTATCAGTTGTGTACTGTGATTTCTGGCTGTGATTAATGAGTGAGTTTCTTTATTTTTCCTGTGTTTCACTTTCACACTAGACTTCTCCATTTGTCTACTTACCATGATGATGATGATGATGATGATGATGATGATTATCATTATTATTTTTGGACTTACCGTTATTGACCCAGTAAAATTTGGGAAGATCAGATTGGCTCAAGGAAGAAAGAGCCAGGGTGTAGTGTAATATATGGCTAAAAGAGTAAAAGAAAAAACCATAATGGTGGGAGAAATAATTATAAAAAAGGACCTGAGATTATTGAGGTGTGAGAGTCAGTGGAATTCCTAAGCATGATTTTAAAAATTCTAAAATATTTTTAAAAATTTGTAAAAACATGATTTTAACTTTTTAAAAACTGTGCTGTTGGAAGAGAACGTCAGTTTCTTTGTTTGATTTTAAATTCGGGTAAAGCCAGCTCTGTATTTTCTTGGCCTTTTCCTAACTGCCCATTTGCCTTCTGTTTCAGGTGAACCTCTTCGTGCTGCTCTCTGTGGTTTGTGTCCTCCTAAATCTCGCGGGATTCATCCTTGGCTGCCAGGGGGCGCAGTTTGTGTCCAGCGTGCCCAGGTGTGACCTGGTGAGTGGTTCTCAGCAGCACTGTACTTGGCAGGCCCTGTCCTGTCCACTTTCCTGCTGTAACTTGTGACATGTAGCACCTGGCAACCACCTGCAGTGCAACCAAATGTGGCTAAAAGGAAGCAGGAAAACAAAACACACCGGCCTGCTGATTATTTTACTGGGTGATCAGTTATTTTTGTCAAAGCACTGATCATCCAGCATCATCCCAGAGCTGCAGAAGAGTGGTGTAGTGGATTGTGTCTCCTCAGTCAGTTTCTGTCTACCTTCATCAAAAGAGGGAAAATGGATATCATCTGAATACAGGTCCACAGTCCTTTATCTGAAAGACTTGGAGGCCAGAAGTGTGCGAACATTTAGAGATTTTCCAATTTGGGGATGTAAATATGGTATATACACCATGTGTTTATTATGTAGCCTGCTAGGCATCTGGGACGGGAGGCTATAATCGGGGCTTTTGGTTTTCAGAGCTTTTTGAATTTCAGAAGCGTAGATAAAATGTTGTGGAGTTGTAGCAGTTCTGACGTTCACAAAATATTTTAGTTGTAGTAAAATACACAGAATATGCAATTGACCACCTTAACCATTTTAAGTGTACAGTACAGTTCATTAGTATTATGTGCATTGTTGTGAAAATCTCCAGATCTCCTCTATATCTTGCAAAACTGAAATTCTGTGCACATGAAACACCAACTCCCAACCATCCTCGTCCCTCATGTCCCAACCCCTGGCAACCACCATTCTACTTTGCATTTTTATGAGTTTGAATACTCTAAATACCTCATGTCATTGGGATCGTGCAGTTTTTGTAAGTGACTTGTTTCATTTAGTATAGTACAGGTTTCTCCACATGGTAATATGTATCCGAGCTCCCTTCCTTTTTAAGGATGGATAATACTCCATTGTATGTAAGTATGACACATTATGTTTATCCATTTATTACCGGACGGCCCTGGGTTTTTTCCACCTCTGTGTATTGTGTGTAATGCTGCTGTGACTGTGGGTGCACAAACATCTCTCCCAGGTCATGCTCTCAAGTCTTTTGGGTTTCTCACCCAGAAGTGAAGTGCTGACCACCTATAAACTTTTTAAAAGACTTCTCAGTAACAAATATCTCCCTGTAGCACAAAACAAAAGGAATGAACTCTTTAGAAGTTATAGTACATCACATCTATGTGGAATCTGGCTTCGCACACTCCCATCCTGTAGAAAACAGGAGGATCCGAGCTGAGAAGCCCACGTCATTACTTGGATCGGGCTTTTGCAGTGACACCCATGAAATCCCCAACCTCTCAGGGGCCTACTAAAACCTTGTTGTTCTTTCTTATAGTTCTTTACAAAACAGTAAAATTTTGTCATTCCATTGCTTAATAGCCCTAAGTTAGGGAATCACATAACTTTTCAGGTCTTTAAGGCCCTCTGTGAATTGCTCTCAGCCTGCCTTTCAACTGGAGCAGCTCACACTCCCTGTAATTGAGCCAAACTCACAAGTTATTTTCCAGAATCCTGCCCCCACCTGCCCCAGGGGGTCTCACTATGTTGCCCAGGCTAGTCTTCAACTTTTGGACTCCAGCGATCCTCCTGCCTCAGCCTAGGTGCTAGGACTATTCGTATGTACCACTCTGCCTTAATTTCTTGTTTCTTACAATGTTATCTCTCGTCTAACCCAAAAAATTCTCTTCACCTCACTTTTCCTTCCTCCAGGTACTACCAGTCTTTGAAAGACCTATTCAAACCAGGCTTGGTGGTGCACACCTGTAGTCTCAGTACTCTGGGAGGCTGAGGAAGGAGAACTGTGAGTTCAGCTCTAGTCTGGGCAACTTAGCAAGACCCTGTCTCAGAATTAAAAAAAAAAAAATTTAAAGGGCCAGGAATGTAGTTCATTGTAAAGGCCCTGGGTTCAATCCCCCTTGCTGGGAAAAAGGAAGTGCCAAAGACTGCCTCCCTCAGGAAATAGTCACTGATCCTCAGAGAAGCTAATATTCTGCCTGGGTATCCCTTTATTTTTTGGGGCTAACGATACTTATAAAGATACTTTACTGGGCAGGAGCCACCTGGATAGTATCTGGTTTCCTTTTATCTTGGGAGTTTCCAGTAACCCCACACACATTCCTTTGCAGACAAGCAGTCCCCAGAGAAAACTTCTGGACAAATTCTGGTTTTCCAATTACTAATTATGCAATTGAATGCAGTGGGTTCACATCCTAGTCAGTGGAAAGTCAAAAACACAACCAGGAGACAAAAGAGTGGAGAAAGATTTATTACCTGCAGCAAGTAAGTACAGGGCTGGGGTCATTTCCAAACCAGTGCCCTTCCTGAGGAATTGAAGCATGGGGTTTTCCTTGGTAAGCCTACACATACTCATATAGGAAAGCTCTTTAGAGATGGGCACATCTCCTGAGCATGCCCAGTTTAAGGTGTGTGTTTCTGACCATGCTTAATTTAAGGTCGTAGTTTGGAAAGAAGCAAAACATCTCGGCATTCACCATTCAAGGCTGTAGACGCATGATTGAAAGATTAAGATGGTGGACGCCATACTTCTGCGCATGCTCAGTTCAGTACTGTAATGAGTTTTTTTTTGTAGGCGTCTGAAAGACCGAATTAGAGTGAGTTGGTAACTTTGGCTGTTTCTTGGCATGTTTCCCCAAAAAAGTCTTAGGTAAAAGAAAAAAGAAAAGAGAATTCTGAATGTGCATTAGCGTGGGAGTTTGCCTCAGAAAGGGTCTGCCTCAGCAGCTAATAATGACATGACAAACAAGGGAAGGCAAAGAGAAAAAATAAAGACTGGAAATGAAAAGTGTTAATAGATTAATAGTTCATCAGAACTGTAGTATGTGCCAGAATTTTCTTCCTTTTTAAGACTGAATTATATTGTTTTGGATATATATGATACATTTTATTTATCTATTCACCCATTGGCATTTAGATTGGCTCTAAACAAATATTATTGGTTGTGCATCTTGCTGTAATGACTATTGGGAGTAATGCTGCAGTGAACGTTGGTTTGCAAATATCATTTGGAGATCTTTGTTCAGTTCTTCTGGGTATCTATCCAGAAGTGTGTTTGCTGGGTCATATAGTAATTCTTTTTAATTGAGGAACCTCCATACTGTTTTCCAAAGTGGCTGGGCCATTTTACATTCCTGCTAACAGTGCACAAAGATTCTAGTTTCTCTATGTCCTGACATTTGTTTTTATCTTTTTTTTGTGCACGGGGGAGGGGGGGGTGCTTGTTGCCATCCTAATGGATATGAGGTAATACCTCTTGTAGTTTTGATTGCATTTCTTTCATGATTAATGATTTTGAGCATCTTTTCATGTGCTTTTTGCCCATTGGTTTTTTTCTTTCATGCTTTTGTGTGCTTTGGTGCCACGTTATGTGAATACTGCAGCCACCTGTGCAGCCTGTGAGAAAGGCTTTCTCAGCTAACTCAGGACCTTGCACGGAGAATGGATTTGTACAGTTGCAAGTGGTGGTGCACTCCTGTGGCCCCAGCACTTTGAGAGGTTGAGGCAGGAGATCAAGAGCTTGAGCCCAGCCTGGGCAAAGTGACTTAGCCACATCACCCCCGCTCCCCCGCAAAAAAAAGAAAGAGGAAAGAAAGAAAGTAAAAGGCAGACTGACTGGGGATACAGCTCAGAAGGCTGTGGGTTCAGTTTCTAGTCTTGGGGTGGGGAGAGAATGGATTTGTATGCGAAGGGAATACTTTGTAAGGTGACACCTAGCATTACCTGAGGGAAGTGGAGGACTCAGGCAAGGTCTGGAGGTTTGTGCCAAGGACGGAATCACAGATTCATGCTGAAAAAGTGAGTTTGGCCCCTATGGGCGAGGAGAGCAGAGTGGAGGCTGACACATCATCTCCATTAGTGCTGATCTGGTACTACTAAGTAGTGTTGTTAGTGTTAACATAGGAACTGCTCAGCTGGTAACGTCAAAGGAGGAAGCCTTTCCGGAGCAATAGCCGCCTGCTGAGTTTACAGCCTGTAAGGGATTAATGGATTGTGGAAGAGGGGTCTGGAGAAAGCCTGCCTGATCGGCCACAGTCATCTTCCATGAGACGGTGAGAGGCAGGAGGGTGTGTCCTCAGAAACGTGAGACAGTGGCAGAAAGACTGCACACAGAGACTTGGTCCTTTGTGTGGGGTGTGGATCTAGGCATGGGAACATTGATGCTGTAAACCTCTAGGGACAAACCAGGAAGAGAAGAGACCACTTGGGGATGAATTGATAGAGACCGTGGAGGTAATTCTAGTTGTCATTCCTTGTAGCAGAGACAGAATTTACATAAAAATCTGATGTAATGACGCTTCCCTTTCAATGTGGTTTCAGAACAAAGAATCAGAAATGGGGAATCCATGGCGCTCTAGGAGAGGCATTGCTAATGTACGTAGGCAAAAAAATGAGAACAGTGGTTGCCTGTAGGAAAGTAGGGACAGAGATCGATGGGGAAGGGGCATGAGGGAATTCTCCCTGGAGAGGGTACTGTCCTCTATGTTGCTAAGCGTTCGGGATACATAGGTGTCTGTACTGCTCAGAATTCCTAAAATGATATACTTAGGTATGTGTATATAGTTTTTTGGGTGGTATATATAAATTTTACCTCAAATAAAAATATAGCCCCCTACCCAAATATTGTATAATCCAATGTTAGAATGTTTTTCAATTCAGATTATAAGGAACCATATTTTCTCCTAATTTCAGAAAACAACCTTATAATTTACTACTATAACTATTATTTTAGGGCTGGATGTGGTGGTGTCTGCCTATAATCCCAGCACTTGGGAGGCTGAGGCAGGAGGACTGCTGCAAGTTTGAGGCCAGCCTGAATTGCATTGTGAAACCCTGTCTTAAAAAGACACACACAAAAAAAGAGTCTTATTTCAGTAAGAAAAAAGGGATCTTCCCCTATGCCCGGGTTTAGCAGTGAACATAGTGTGACTGTTTAATTAGTCCTAATGACCCCTGAAGAATTTTGCAGCTGGTAAAGGCAAGAGCTGCCTAATTAATTTGATAATTAATGGAAAAGCTGTAACCTTTCCTGTTAGTCAAAACAGGGAAGCCAATTTCAACAGCTCAGGCAGCAGAATGACTAAGAATAAACCTCTGCCTGCATGTTATGCCTTATTTGCCCTGTTTGGGTGATATATAATTTCTCAGTATGATTTAAGAAAAACTTGAACAGTGACCAAAAATTTGCAAAGCATTTCACTGAAAATGCAGGCAGCTACTCATCAACTACTACAAATCAGCAAGTCTATGACTGCTTTTTAGACATGGATTAAGAGGTCTCTGTAAGCTCCCCAGTCCCAGCAGGTGGTAGGTTCGATTTTTCCACCTTCTTGGAGTTACATGGGGCCATGTGATTTCCTTTGATAATGAAATTGTGAGCTGAAGTGATGAATGTCATTCCCCATAGGAAGCTTTAAGCTAGGGCTGCCAGATTTAACACATAAAATTATAACATAAATAAATTTGAATTTCAGATAAAATTGCCAATTTTTTTTTAGTATAAACATGTCTTGTGCAATGTTTGAAGACATATTTAAAAAAATGAAATGTTGCTTACCTGAATTCAAATTTAATTGGACTTCCTGTATTTTATGTGGCGACCCTGCTTTAAGTGCAGGTGCACCTTTTATCGTGTCCCCCGTCCCCAGCACGTCAGTCATGCAGTGCCGCTGAGATGCGGTTGTTCCACGAGTCTGAGTCCCAAGGAAACATCATGAACAGGACTCCTGCGGACCTGCAGTAAGACTGTAGCATTTTAGATAAATGATTGAAATTTGGTTTTGTTTCTCTCTTCAGTACACCCGAACCTCTTCTAGCGGATAGCTAATGCTTGACCTGAAACCCTACTGCATATCGCTTCTGTAAGATTGCTGCTCTTTGCTGTAGCAAGGGTTTTTTTTCTTAGCAATTGAATCACTGTTCTGCTTTTTTCTCCATAAGGTGGACTTAGGTGAAGGCAAGATTTGTTTCTGTTGTGAAGAATTTCAACCTACCAAATGCACAGACAAAGAAAATGCCTTGAAACTCTTTCCAGTTCAGCCTTGCAGTGCTGTTCACCTTCTCCTTAAGGTATGTCGAATGGATTGCAACCCCTCCAAAATATACACCAGGAAGCCCCCGAAGAAGGCACAGTTCCTTGAAATATTCCTGTCATCGCTGCCTTCAAATTAAGCTGCTGAAACCAGGTATGAGTGACCGTTCATTAGTGACCCAGAGGCAGAATGGAGTGTAGCAACACACAGATTACTGTGTATGCGTGCGTGTGTGTTGTGTGTGTAAATTATGTATGGGCAGCTTTGTATGTGTTCAGGGACTCTTAAACTAACACAAATCGAGAGGCACCTAACTACTATGCAGGTATATAAGTACAGACATGTAACATGGGTACACATGCACACACGTACTCGATGTAGCTTTTAGCAGAGCCTTTAAATCACCTGCTCACGTGTCACGTGCCGATGTCCAGTGGTTAGTGTGAGCATGGCAGGACGTGGCAGGCACTAACTGCCAGGCTGTGACACACAGACCGTGGAGAGAGGTTGGCCAAAAAGTACCGCAGAAATTCAAGAACTTTTATCTCATTTAATTGATGATCACTATAATAAGCAAAAGAAATGTCTTTAGTTGAAAAGAAAGAGCTAACCTTTAGTAGTCAGTTGAATAAAAATTGTGTCCTAATTTCAGGGATATTTGCCAAGTGAGTGACAGAATCAGTTGGCAAACCCTGATATATGAGCTCTTGGACGGTCTCGAATGGTTTTCTTTCTTTTGGGTTTATTTTCTGTGGAGAAGAAGAATCTCTAAACAGAGAGAGAGACATTCATAGCTGCCAGCCCTGGGTTACATAGGGTGTAAAAATGCCCTGCTTTCCTTGGCTTCTGCATATTTGGTGTCTGCATCGCCCCAACATTCTGAGCCAGGCCTCAGATTGGGGAAAGCTCCATGCCGGAGCCAGGACTGTAGCCATAGCTGCTTTTGGCATTGCCTTGCGGCTATTCTGAGACGTGTGTTTAGAGAAGAAAGGGCCTGTTTACACTCCGGCTGGCCCGGCCACTGCTGCGCCCTCCCTCGTGGGTACTTGGGGCAGCACTCCCAGATGCTCCCGAAATAGAAATCACTGGCCACAAGTTACACACTGTGCTGTGCTCATGGGAGGCTGGGCGTCGCTGTCTCTGGAATAAGCAGTTTAGAAGAGAGCCGCACTGCTCTGCTGGCAGGGAGGTTTGTAGATGGCATCCATACAGTTGCAAAAGGAAATGCAGTCATCTCTTGGAATCCATGGGGACTGGCTCCAGGACCCCAAGATGCCTGAAATCTGTGAAGCCCATATCCTTTATATGAAATGGTGTGTATTTGCATATAACCTGGGTACTTTAAACCATCTCAAGGTTAGTTCCAATACCTAATGTCAATATTTACATCTTTGGTTGATTGAATATGCAGGTGTGTAACTCAGGGACCCAAGGGGCAGACTATATTGTACTTCCAGGTCTTTCTCGGACAGAGATCTTCTAAGATAAGGTTTTAAAATTAGGAAGTTCATATTCTTGTATGAGGGTTACAGTAACAGCCAGCATTTATCACTCATGTAAATCCTTTGTACACCTTTTCTGGTGAAAAGGGACAGTGTCTCACTGGGACAGTGTCGTTCTTTAAGCATGTTTTTACGTTGCACTCTGGTGACCTCCCTGAGGCACTCTGCGGTGTCTTGTTTCTGTGTTCCAGAAAGTCCTCTTCGCCCTGTGTGCCTTGAATGCTCTGACCACCACTGTCTGCCTGGTGGCCGCCGCCCTTCGCTACCTCCAGATATTCGCCACCCGAAGGTCTTGCATCGTAAGTCCAGGCAAGGGGGCACGGTGACGCGTGTCCTGCTGTGCGGTGGCTGAGCCAGCCTCGGGCCCTTGTGTGGGACGCAGTGAAGGCTGTTGACTAACCGAAGTGCTGTTTAATCAGGATGAGTCCCAGATCTCTGTGGAAGAAGTGGAGGACCACGGCCGCATCCCAGACCCAGATGACTTCGTACCGCCTGTGCCTCCCCCCTCCTACTTCGCCACATTTTACTCGTGCACGCCCCGGATGAACCGAAGGTACTGTTCCTCAGTCCCCTGCAGCTCTCTGGGGTGCTCCGAGGTTTGAAGACTGAGGGGCATACATACTTCGAGCATGAGCCCTGACTTTCCTCCCATATCTGCAGAAATTGTTGTCCTTTTCAGGGTTTTCAATTCTCTCTGTCCCTTTCTGTGGCTCTGGTTCTGACTTTTTCCTTTGTCTGATAAACCAGATGAATCCAAGAAAAGTCAAACCTAGACCTAAAGATATACTTTTTCAAGTTCAATTAGCTTCCTGGGGAAAACTGACACCCAGGGAGATAACGGCTGTAATTTGACATGATGGAGAGTCGCAGTTGCCCTGGCAACTCTCCCAGTTAGGCCAAATCGATGTTTTATTGTAACACCATCAGCAAGTCCCAACAATCTTGAAATCCTTCCCAGCTGTAGGAAAAGATTAAAAATTAATTGCACCTCCATATTTAGAATTAAAAAAAACATTATCCTTATATTCCTTTTCAAATTCCAGTTCAAAATTTGGCTGTTTCTCAAATCTCAGGAATTATTTGTATGATGAAATGTCATAAGCATTTGTCTGATGGCTAGTGACTTTTAGAATTGAATCTCTCTAAAGAATGACTTCATGGGGCTGGGGATTTAGCTCAGCGGCGCAGCGCCTGCCTGGCAAGCGCAAGGTTGTGAGTTCAATTCCCAGTACTGGAAAAAAAAAAAACCAAAAAATAAAAAAAAAAGAATGGCTTCATTTATTCATTCAATAAACATGTACTCAGTCTTTGGCTGCTTATTCATTGTGGATTACTAAGATTTTAAATGCATCAGAGCTGCTCCCTGTCCTCCAATCAAGGAGCTCACAGTCTGGGTCATTAAAATGAATGTTGGAAGGATTGCAGTGCTACTCAAAAGAGTAGTTTGGGGTGCGCAGAAAAGGTTTCTTAGCCCAGAGTAGTGAGATAGTCTGCCAGTCAGGGGCAGCTTCTGGGAAGAAAGTAACCTTAATCTGAGGTTAAAGGGTATTCAAACTTATAATTAAGTCCCCAAAGAAAATCTCTAAATTCCACAGGCAGACGAGCATCTTGTGCTTGATACTCTCAGGGGTCTTACTTACTTTTTCTCTCATTGCTAAGACAAAATACCTGACATCCAAGGTGAAAGGGGGAAAGGTTTATTTAGCTCGCAGTGTGTAGAGGTTTCAGTCCATAATCAGCTGGCTCCAAGGCAGGGGCTTGTGTGGCAGACAGGCATTGCAGAGAGGAACAGTTCATGGCAGGCAGAAGGTAGCAAAGCAAGCAAGGGACAAGACAAGCCTCTTTAGGGCGGTGCCCTAATCAGTGGACTGATTTAGTAATCACCCACCTTTAATCCTAGCATTTCACCATGAACCAGTCACACACTCTAGATTCAGCCACCTCTGAAAAAGCCCCACCTATGACTGCATGAGGCTTTGGGGGGACATGTAGACACAAGCCATAACATGAGACTAGACATTTATATTTTTATTTATTTATTTTTGTGGTACCAGGAATTAAACCCAGGACTTTGGGACTGAGTCACCTTTACATCCCCACCCTTTTTAGTTTTTGAGACAGGGTCTGGCTAACATATTAAAATGCCCAGGCCGTGCTCAAACTTGTGATTCTCCTGCCTTAGCCTTCAAGGATGCTGCAGACATTTACATTTTTGAACCTCTGGTAGTATAGAGTTTTCAAATTTGTTTCCAGGCTTGGGGTTGCTGGAAAAACATTTTCTAATGTTCAAGGCAGCTCTGTGTGCCCTTGAAATGGGTCTCACCCAGGCACCGTAAATGTTCCTTGTGTGTGAATCTCTTTCCTGCCCTGCCCTTCCCATCTGACCAGGTACAGGCAGAGATGACCACGAAGCAAGAAGGGTGTCAGCTGGGTGGACGGTGGCCTGGTGAGGACCGAGGTCCAGCTCCCTCTACCGAGGAGTGGATTGCTGGCTTTCTGAAGTCATGGGCAGGGTGACGTCCTCATCTGTTAGGAGATGAACCAAGAACAAGGCTGCAGAAGAGCTGCATATTCTGCTTGTACCACAGGACGCGTTTGCTGAACAGTAGCCGGGGGTCAGGCTGTCCGTGGAGGGCAGTGAGAATGACTGCTGTTCTGTGGTTGGGAGGCAGCTGTCCTCTTCAGTAAGAATCCTGGCTTCCCGGAATTGCGGGTGAGCGCTCGGCTGACCTCTGAAGAGGCAGTGGACAGATTCAGTTTCCTGCAGTGACAGAAAGGGAAAGTGACTCATGTGGTTCAGGAGTTGCCCACATGTCCTGTCATCTCTCCACCTTGCTTTCTCTCTGTTCTTTCTCTTTTCTGCTCCACCATGGCAGTGCTTGTCAGTGTGGGCCTCTCCACCCTTTGTGGACCTAGGTACAACTTTAGATTTGTTCCTCTGAGCCCCTGTTCAGATCTAGGTTGGGAGAAGACAAACTTCTCATCAAGGATTTTACTATTTAGAACTTTCCAGAAGAAAGGGAAGGTTTCTAGCAAAATACCCTATGAGAAAGGAAATACTACTCAGTTGTATGCCTGGAATCCTAGATCCTGTCTCCAGTGGGCTCATTTTTAGAAATTCTCCCAATATCAAAAGGCAGTCCACTTTTCTCTTTAAAATGACAGAATTAATATTTAGATACATATTCTGTCAAAGATATTTTAAAATTTGACTGACTTTGCTAGTTGTCCATATAAATCAACTTTACAGACACTCACCCTTTCCCTCTGGGTGGTAATTCTTTTGTAAGCAGGCAGGCAAAAATAGGCATGGATGCTTTTGTGCATTTTCACAGCCAGGTATGTCAAGAGTTCGTGCCACAAAAGCTGTCCATTTCTTGTAAGAAATAGGTGCCCTCTTGGAAGAGGCCTGTTTGTTTAACTTCTATAAATAACACCCACTTTATACCTTCTTACCTCCTTGAGAAAGGGTTTCTCAAGTTACTGTCATAAACAGATTTCTGACTACAGCCAAGGCTTCTGTCCAAAGATGAGTTACTTATTTTGTGAATTGATTTGTAAGCACAGGAGAGGGCTGTGTGTCCCAACTCCACTGCTCCCACCCTATTTTCAGAAACTGAGTTAGGAATCAAAAAGGTATCAGCTCTGCCATCCTGTGCCTAGGAGCAGGGAGAAAGGAACATAGTTCTCTGGTCAAAGACATCTTCCCTGCAACATTATTCACACGTTATTCAAAACCTATTTGTAGCATGGAGTCAGAATGTATTTCCTGTACTCTATTCAGGTGTCCTGTTCATTTTCAGGCTTCTGGGTGTAAATCAGGGATGCTTTCCTGGAGACTGTAATAAACTTGAGGAGCCTAGGCTATGGAGTCTTTTCTAGTGTGACCCTGGGCTGCTGGGAGGATTTGTATGAGAGAGTGGACATTAAAACTTTTTCTTTAAAAGTAAAAGCTTAGGCCATTACTATAACAGAGTAACACACAGAGGGAGTAGTTTATAAAAGAACCTTTATCCACCCCCCACCCCCCACCCCCGCCATTCTGGAGGCTGCGAATTCCAAGATCCAGGTGCTAAGTAGGCTTGGTCTCCAGTTCCAAGATGACACTTCGTTGCTGTGTTCTTTGGAGAGGAGAAAGTTTGTGTCCTGGCATAATGAGCAAAGTAGAGCGAACCCATCCCCACAGGCTTGTTTTATGGTGGCATTAGTTCATTCACAAAGGCTGTGCCTCCAGGACCTAAACAATTCTGCAGTGTCTTCACCTCCAGAAAGATTGGGGCTTTTACTTTGGGGCTCCTTTTTTTTTTTTTGAGTGTTTTATATGTTGTAGATGTTAGTCCTTATGTCTAAGGAATAGCTAGCAATTTTTTCCCCATTCTGTAAGTTGTCATTTCACTCTGTTGGTCTTTTCCTTTGCTGTTCAGAAGCTTTTTAATTTGATGTGATCCCATTTGTTGATTCTTGGTAATATTTGTTTTTTGTTTTGTTTTGTTTTTTTCCGGTACCAGGAACTGAACTCGTGACCTTGCTCTTGCCAGGCAGGTGCTGTGCCGCTGAGCTAAATCCCCAGCCCAGTAATATTTCTTATACCATTGGGGTTCTATTCAGAAAGCCCTTCCCTGCACCTATGTCTTCAAGAGTTTTACTCATTTTATCTTTTTTTTTTCTTTTTGGGGTACCAGGGATCGAACTCACGACCTTGCGCTTGCCAGACAGGCACTTGTGCCACTGAGCTATATCCCCAGCCCACTCGTTTTATCTTTCAATAGATTGTTTCTGTTTTAACATTAAGATCTTTGATCCATTTTGATTTTAGTTTAGTGTATGGCAAAAATATGTCTAGACTCAATCTTCTGCGTGTAGATAGCCAATTTTCCAGCACCGTTTATTGAAGAGGCTATCTTTCCTCCAGTGTATTCCTGGCCCCTTTGTCAAAGATCAAATAGTTGCATTCTGGCTCCGCTATTCTGTTTTATTGATCTACATGTCTGTTTTTGTGGCAGTACCATCCTTTTTTTTTTGTTGTTAAATCACTGTGGTTTTGTAATATAACTTCAAATCTAGGATTATGACAACTCCTTCTTTGCTCTTGTTTGTCAGAATTGCTTGTGCTATTCTGGGCCTCCTCTAGTTCCAAATGAATTTTCAGGTTGTTTCCCAAAATCTGTGAGGGATGTTGTTGATACTTTGATTGGGGTTGTGTTAAATCTGTGTTATCACTTTAGAAAGTATGGCCCTTTGACAATGACCTTTCTGCCTATCCAAGAACAGGGGATATCTTTCCAATTTCTGATATCTTCTTCATTCTTCTATCTCAGATACTTAGTTTTCATTGTAGAGGTTTTTAACTTCCTTTATTAGGTTAATTCTTAACTATTTAATTTTCCTGATGCTACTGTGATTGGTATTTTCCTAATTTCTTTCTCAGTGAGATTATTATTGATGTACAGGAATTCTGTTGATTTTGTGTGTGTGTGTGTTTTTTTTTATCCTATTACATTGCTGAATTTGCCTATTAAATCTAGGAGTCTTCTGGTGGAATTTTCGGGTCTT